GCATTGTTCAGCTTAGTTGGTATATTGCTTACCATCTAATTTGCTTCTCACAGTCCTGGACTAGGCATTATGCCTTTTCTGTAGATGAAGAGACAGAAATTCAAGGAGCATTAGTGACTTGCTCAAAGCCGCACAGCTAATGAGGAATAAGGTTCAGCATGAGCCCAGATTCTAACCCCAGAGCAATGAAGTTCCCGTTTCTGCTGCCCCTGGGACCCAGCCCCCCTTCAGGTCAATAGAAGTCACAGAAAGGCCACCAGCTCTGGGCTCTGACAGGCCCCAGTGTGATCCGAGTGCCACCATGCGCGTCCCTTAACTTCTCTGAGGTGGCTTCCTCAACCATAAAGCAGATCAAAATACCCGCCTTCTAGAGTTGTGGGAAGATGCAATAATATATGGAAAGTGCATCTGGCATTATGTGGCAGGAGACAGGGTGTTGTCATCGCTGCCCCACGTGTCTCCTTGGCAGAAAAGAGAAAAAGGAAGGAGTTGCTCATCCCCAGACCCTGCTCTAGGGAACCATCCTCAGGAACTGCCACTCTTCTGACCTACTCTACACAGGATCTGCAAAGACACGTTCATTACATTTTCTGAAAATATTTAATTTATAAAAAGCTTCTTAACTGTGTGAACTGTGAGGACATTGTACTGAGTGAAATAAACTAGCCACAAAAAGACAAATACGGTAGCCCTAGCTGGTTTGGCTCAGTGGATAGAGCATCGGCCTGTGGACTGAAGGGTCCCAGGTTGGATTCCAGTCAAGGGCATATGCCTGTTGCTGGCTCAATCCCCAGTGGGGGGTGTTCAAGGAGGCAGCCAATCAATGATTCTCTCTCATCATTGATGTTTCTATCTTTCTCTCCCTCTCCCTTTCTCTCTGAAATAAATAGCAAATATATTAAAAAGAAAAAGAGAGACAAATACTGTAGATTTTATTCATATGAGGTTTCTAAAGTAGTCACAGTCATAGTGACAGAGAGTAGAATGGTGGTTGCCAGGGCTTGGAAACTGTTTAATGGGGACAGAGTGTCAGTTTTTTGTTGTTGTTTTTTTAAAATTTATTTATTGATTTTAGAGAGAGGGGTAGGGGGAGAGAGACAGACACAGATATCGATTTGTTGTTCCACTTATTTAAGCATTCATTGAATTAATTGGTTGATTCTTGTATGTGCCCTGGATTGAAGATCAAACCCACAACCTTGGCATATCGGAACAATGTTCTAACCAACTGAGCTACCCAGCCAGGGCCCAGAGTTTCAGTTTTACAAGATGTAAAGAGTTCTGAAGATGGATGATGGTGGTGGCTGCACAACAGTGTAAATGTACTTAATGCTACTAAACTGTACACTTTAAAATGGTTAAGATGATAAGTTTTAGGTTATTTGTCTTTAATCACAATTGAAAAAATTTTTCTAGAAAAAATACCACCTCTGAGCCCTGCACATTTTGCTTAGGTTTCTGCAGGGGCGGTTTTTTCTATATGGTTACAGTCGGGTTACCTTATAACAGGGACTCAGTTAGTATTTAAGGCGCAAAGTCACCCTGGAAAACCCCTGTGTGGCCCACAGAGTAGGTGAGACTAGGCAGCACTGCCGATTTTTCTTGTAGAATTGGAACAAACACTGTTACTTTGAGCATCAAATGAAATAGCTGATTTATGTTCGGGGGTCATAACAAAATATATATTCCGAGAGACTCCCAGGGTGGGACGCACACATTATGAGGGGCCCTCAGAGCCCAGACCTGCAGATTCCCCACCCCTCCTCGTGTTGGAACACAAACCAGCAGAATGGGCAGTCACCAGCCCTACTGGATGTGTGATTTTTCTTTCTCTTCTGCAGAGTTGAATGGGTTCATGAGGTGGCTCCAGTGAGGTGGCCTTTGTCTGGTCAAAGGGAACTGGGCATGTGCCTTACTATCACCCTCTGACCAGCTGATTCTAATGGGTTTTCACAAGTTGCTCTAACTCATTGTTCTGGCCTTTGACCAGATCTATTGGTCATAGAAAAATGGCCCATTTCCCCCACCAGGTACCCACTGCAAGGCACATCGCATCTCAGACACCTGCTCAACCTGAAAGTCTCCAACTTTAAAGGACCTTTTCAGACCAAAGATCCAATTCCTGAGGCCAAAGTTCAAATCGAAATTATAGGGTTCCTAGCTTTTCACAGATTTCTCTTCAAATTAAAATACCCGAAAAGAGAAGTGGTAGAGTAAAACTCTCAGAAGACCTTATCAAATTAAACAGTGGGTGTGAGCCAGCCTTGTCTTTCAGACAGATTTGAACACTGTCTCCTTCAGAGGGTTTAGGCAGCACCTAGCCCCGTTCCAGGCATGGCTAAGGCCTCCAAATGAATAAATGACCAGCTACCCTGGGGCACACCTGCCTTCATTAGTTTGGTGTTCGTCTAGAGCAGTGGTTCTCAACCTTCCTAATGCCATGATCCTTTAATACAGTTCTTCATGTTGTGGTGACCCCCAACCATAAAATTATTTTTGTTGCTACTTCATAACTGTAATTTTGCTACTGTTATGAATCATAATATAAATATCTGATATGCAGGATGTATTTTCATTGTTACAAATTGAACATAATTAAAGCATAGTGATTGATCACAAAAACAATATGTAATTATATATGTGTTTTCCGATGGTCTTGGGCGACCCCTGTGAAAGGGTCGTTCGACCCCCAAAGGGGTCGCGACCCACAGGTTGAGAACCGCTGGTCTAGAGCAATAGATTCTGATTGGCAATAAATTTAGGTTGTTATGCCTAAGGATTGAGAAGTACGCTACTTAAGTGAAGGCTGTAAACTTAAATCCTGATTCTGCCATTAAATACTTTGCTATCCCCAAGCAAGACTTTCTATCTTGATTTCCCTCATGTATAAAATTGGAAGAGATCTGTAGAAGTACATAAAAATGAATGAAAGAGAGAAAAAACAAATGCTTACTGGTGAAGTCGCTTATTTTTTACCCTGCAATGCACGTGATTCCAAATCTGAACAGGCAGAAGTGAGAACATTTGGATTTATTTACATAACCAGGGGGAGGGTCCCTCTGGGATCTCACAGTTGATTTTTCTAAATCAGTTTGGCTCCAAGCACTGGACAAACGACACAGCTGAGACACAAAACCATTAAAAAGTACCCCCTTGCGAACACAGGCAGAGTAAAGGGTGAGAAGGAAGCAGGTGCAGCTGGTGACCTTGTGACAGTGTCGTTAATGGAAAACGCTCCGCACTAGGACCCTCGGGAGATCCCTCAGCTCCAGTCCCACCTCTGCCACCGCACAGCTGTGAAACTGAGCAATCACAGAAGCTCCCCCAGATTTGTGAAATACTCAGACTGTCCTGGGGAACCTTGGGGCTGGCTGTGTGGCTCCGACAAGGTTAACATGTAGATGAACGATGGAAACCGTAAATGTTAGACCAGGTGCGGAGTTACTATCACACCCCTTCCTAATGGGAAACACTGAGGCACTGGAAATATCAGGAGCCTCCTTCGAGGTCCCTGAGCACAGAACTCACTCCACACCCCCACGCTCCGACTCTACCCGAAGAGGCACAGGACTTAGTTGCCAGTAGCTTGGGTTCCTGAGTCTCATTGTCTGCGTTCCTAATCCCAGCTCTGCCATGTGTGTGCTTTGGGACTTGACACAGTGACCTACTTGGCTGAGCCTCTGCCTCTTCACATATAAATTGTGGAGATGACGGTGAAATTACTTGATGGAATTGTAGAAGATTGACTGTTGCATATTAATAAACCCTGTTATGGACTGAATGTCTGTGTCTCCCCCCCCCCCCAAATTTACATGTTGAAGCTCCAATCCCCAATATGATGGTATGTGGGGGTGGGACCTTTGGGAGGTGATTAGATTTCTAGGTCATGAGGGTGGGCCCCCATGACAGGATTAGTGTCCTTATAAAAAGAGAGAGATCTTTCTCTCCATCACGTGAGGACACAGTGAGAAAGTGTCCATATACAGGCCAGGAAGAGGGTCCTCACTAGGAACTGAATCAGTTCCCAACTTGATCTTGGACTTCCTGACCTCTGGAGCTGTGAGAAATTAATGTCTGTTGTTTAAGCCCCCCAGTCTATGGTATTTTGTATGGCTGGCTAATACATACCCAAAGAGCTTAGAGCAGTATCTGGCTTATAGGAAAATATTCAATAAATATTAGCATATATTTATGTTTGGCTCTTTTGAAACCTTATTAAGAAATATTGCAAGCATTCTAAAATGTTTAAAGTATATTAGAGCCCTAGCCAGTTGGCTGGGTTAGTTGAGCATCTTCCCATACATAAAAGGTTGTGGGTTCGATTTCTGGTCAGGGCACATAACTAGGTTGTGGGTTTGATCTCTGGTCGGGGTGAGTACAGGAAGCAACCGATGGATGTTTCTCTCTCACATCCATGTTTCTCTCCCTCTCTGTCTAAAAAATAAAACTAAATCAATAAACTTATCCTCAGGTGAGGATAAAAAAAATTTTTTAAAGAAGAATATACCCACCACCTGACATAAGATATAAAACATTACCAATACAAGTGGAAGCCCCTGACACCTTCTCTAATCACATTCCCTCCTTCCTGCCCAGAGGTGACCATGCTCCTGAATTTGGTATTTATCATTCCCATTAATTTCTTTATACGCTTACTCCATCTGTACGTATCTGTAACCAATGGGACTGGGCTGGAAATACACCAGAACTGACATGTCCTTCCAAAAGGATTTAGACATAGGGTCTAGCATAGCACAAAGTGTTGTTTGGCAAGCACATTCTCATTTGTCACCTCCCTATGTTTGCCTTTTCACTTCCCTGAGCTGGGAACGTGTTAATATCTCCAAGTGGACCAATTGCTGAAACAAACCATTAGTTAAGTCTCCTATTAGCAGGTCTGTGCTTGTCAGAGACTGTGGAGCTGCAGCCTTCCCCCTTCCTCGCTTCCCCTCATCCCTGCCCCTTCCAGCTCAGCCCTGACGCCCCCTCCTCCCTTCCAGACCGAGATGCGGCTGCAGGACCAGCAGCTGGCCAGACAGCTCATGCGCCTGCGCAGTGACATCAACAAGCTGAAGATAGAGCAGACCTGCGACCTCCACAGGCGGATGCTCAACGACGCCACCTATGAGCTGGAGGAGCGCGATGAGCTGTCAGACCTTTTCTGCGACTCCCCTCTGGCCTCCTCCTTCAGTCTCTCCACGCCACTCAAGCTCATTGGAGTCACCAAGATGAACATCAACTCCCGGAGGTTCTCCCTCTGCTGAGCAGCCCTACAACAGGGCAGAGGAGCCAGAACAGAGGGTTTGGGAAGCGGAGAGGGGGCGTGGGGAGAAGGGAAGTGAGGCTGAGATACCTCAAGTAGGTCTCCCCAGAGGCACAGCTTCCCTGAGACTGGTGAACCGTGGACCCCAGGGCCTGTCCGCAGGGCATCTCCCTGGGGCCCCAGCTTTGGAACCCAACATCCCCATGACTGGCTCTCAATACCCAAAGAGTCCTGCAGAAGGGCCACTCCATCCACATGTTCAATGAGACTTGGGTTTCCAGCATGACACCTCTCAGTCCTCCCCTCAGTGATCCATGTTCCTGCTTCCTGGAATCACTGGTGCTATGAGAACTGGGCTCCCAAAGTGGGGGTGGAGGAGGTGGGCAAAACAGTGATTATTACAGAAGGCTTCCCCACGGGCATGGAGCCCCCATGCTGTGGCTGTCCTCTAAGTACTGGCTCAAATTCACCCTAAGTGGGTGACTCAGCAACCCCGACAGGGACCCACCAGGAAAGGAAAACCAAAAGGATACAATGTAAATTGTACCCAGCGGGTGCTGGGACACACCAGTCTAGCTTGGCTGGAGCAAGCATAGATGCCCTCTGTTGCCTGCGTGGCCACTTGTACAAGCATAGATGCCCTCTGTTGCCTGCGTGGCCACTTGTACAAGTGCCAACTTCCAAAGAGTCCCTTTGCCATCACGCCATACCCTGGGGGAGTGCCTAGGAGACCACTGGTGACAGAACCAGGCAGGTCTGTCCATGGATTTCCCATAACTGAATTTTCCCTGGGCCCAGCAATGGCCTCCTGGTGGGTTCTGCCAGTGTCACCTACGTCACCTTCTTGCCCACCCAGAGAAACTGGAGGGAGCCCAGATGCTCACCCTGAGCTCCTCTGAGATTCTGTGCCTGACTTAAATGACTAATTTTAGTGGAATCAGACTGTTACTAATCTGTCACTAACCTGTTAATAACTGTTTGATTTTTGTCCAAATGGCAAAGCCAGTTAGGTAGGTCAAACACAGAGGTTCAGGGTTTTGCATGAGGAACGCAAAGGTGAGGACTGAGACCTGAACAGGTTAGGAAAGTTAGCCCGGTAGAGTGCCATGTGTCAGGTGTTCCCCAGCAGGTGGGAATTTTTAACCTTGGATGCCACCTAATCGAGGCCTCTCATTCACAAAGTAGTAAAGTGAAGCCAGGGAAGGAGAAAATGACTTCCCTCAGGTGGCGCAGCTCATGAGTGGCTATACCATATTGATGAGTTAAATCATTATCGATAATGCCTAGACAGATAATGTATCAATGAACTTGAACTCCAAAGATGGTCCTAAATGCTTTGCCAAACCTACAAACTGCCAACCCCTCTACTCTGCACCTCACTCAGCCCTCACGTGCACCTCCCACTGTGCAATTCAGAATCTTTGGGTCAAACTCAGAGCAATGTCTGGACAGCAGACCCACAGAACACATATTACCAATCACAAATCCATAGTCGAAGTAAGATGTCCTGCTGCCCTGATGTTCATGTTTTGTCTTCCTGTATAATCTCATTGGGGTGCACACACACACACACACACACACACACACACACACACACACCAGGACCCATATTAGGAAAAGGTTGCTTTTCTTTTGTGGCCAGGAGTAGGAAGATGCCAATGAATGGTCCCTAGTTGGACAGAAAAGAAGGTTGGTCTTGTGATTTCAAAGAGCCAGAGGGTTTATGCTTCCTTCAGAGAAGTTGTAACCACATAGCTGGATTTGTTTTGGCCCAACTCTGAGCAGTGACAAAAGTCTGAAGCCCATCCACCCCTCCCCCTCCCCCAGGCAGGAAACGGGGGAGAAAATGGGGGAGTAATAACCTCTCCCCAGGAATACGTCCAAGCACTGCCAAGTCCTGCAGAGGCCTTCCTGCCAGGCTTCTCCCAGATGAGTCCTGAGGTCATGGGTGTCAGGAGGGCCTACGCACACCCACCACACACCCTACAGAGACACACACATACACCTACTCACACAGGAGAGCTCATTCCATATTCTGAAAAAACAAGAGCCAAACTGATTTTTTTTTCTTTCTAGAAATCAGTCATCACAGTAACTGAGAAAGCTGGAATCAACTGAAGTTGAAGGATGTAGTTGAATTTTGTCAACCCAATTGAATCGGAATCAACTGGGCAATTTAGTTGCTCAGCCTACTACTTTTTTTGTTGTTTCAGGAAAGGAAACTGCGCTCAAGACACACTTTTTTGGATAGGTTAGTTATTTCAGCTATTTTGTTTAGTTCATCCCAAGAGAACTTAATATTTGGGGATAAGGAAGGAGAAAGAAGAGAGGATCAGAGAAGAGAGGTGGAGAGGAAAAGACTGGTGTGTTTTCTTATTGTCCAGTGTCTGTGACTTCCCTTACTTCCACAGTGAACACAAATAACTAACCAAGTCCATTCAGCTTTGTGAAGTCCCTGCCTCGTGTGGGTCCATAGATGCCAGTTCCCCAGAGCAACCTTCTCGCTTACCATTTGTATACAATACTGTTTACAGTTTTACTCATTATCTACCCATCTCCTTGCCACCCCCAAGGACCCCTGGGTGTAAACTCGAAGTCTCCATTGACACTTCGTGTGCGGTAACATCTGATGCCTTCATGGGCTCAGCAGTGATCACAGAGGCCTGGAGAGCCTGGGCAGGCTTGAGACGGCCTGACCCAGCCAGGGCCTCCTCCTTGTAGCAATACCAAGTGCTATTACATAATTGATGGACAATTTATAATTTTATTTTTTACAATTATTTGTTTCTATATTGCTGTTAGAAAAAGTGAAATAAAAATATTTCAAAAGAAGATGTATATTGTTTCTGTTAAAGGATAGGGTCAAACACTTAATTGAGAAGAGAGAGAGAGAGAGAGAGAGAGAGAGAGAGAGAAGAAGAAGAAGAAGAAGAAGAAGAAGAAGAAGAAGAAAAGAAGAAGAAGAAGAAGAAGAAGAAGAAGAAGAAGAAGAAGGAGAAGAAGAAGGAGAAGAAGAAGAAGAATGGAGAAAAAGATTCACTATAATACCTCTTTTCCTCTATGGTGCCTTCCCCCAAGGGGCTGCTTCTTGGTGGTTGCAGCCAGCGGCTTCCCAGTGTGGGCTAAGTGAGCTCAAGGGGTGGAATCAGGAGATGCAGTCATTATCCTGAATTTCACCAAGGCCAGCACCATGCTCTCACACAGTGGTCCCTTCCAGAGGTGACTCTGATTGAATTCAGAGTAACTGGGTTAGATTATAGCAATGCCTGAACATGCAACCACAGGACATGCATTTCAAATCACAGTTCCATCTTTGAAGTGTGGAGCTTAGCTTTGCCATGCTCTGAGAACTGTGCCTTAAACTTTTTCAACCTCTTAAAGCAGCAGTCCTCAAAATTAAGCATGCATGAGGATCGCCCGGAGCACCCGTTGCAAATACATATTCCCGGGGAAATTCCTGGGCTCCTCTGCAGGGATGGGAACTCCAATATGGGGCCTAGGAACCTGTTTTCAACAAACGCCCCAGGAGACTGGCACAGATTGTCCACAGGCCTTGGAGAAACCTTCCAAAGGATGGAGTGGGCAAGCGGAGATATGTTTGAATCACTCCCTACCTCAGGGGTCTCAGGAGAGGCCTACGTCAGAGGGTCCGACCAGGTGTTAGTAATCCCATTTTGTGGAAAGAACAGCCCAAGAGAAGCTATCTGCAGTCCCCTGAGATTGATCCCCTGCCTACAACATGGGGGACTAGATCTGTTTCCCGCAAAGAGCGCACAGGATGGGTTGTGAGCTGAGGGGCAGCGTGGGCGCTTGGAAACCTGGCATCACCATTGGCCCTGTGGTTCAGTATGAGTAGGAGGTTGAGCAGGGGAGGAGCAAGAATGCTTCTCCCGCTGTAGCAGGAGGGAAGGCAGGGCCTGGGTGCAGATGCTTGGACTAGGGAAACCTCTGCTGGGAAGAGGAGGAAAGTCCCACTGGATCCTTCTTTTTTGTTGTTGTTGTTGTTGTTAATTCCTTTTTTAAATTTTTATTTATTTATTTACATAATTATTTATTGTTGAAAGTATTACATATGTCCCTCTCCCCCCCCCCCATTGGCCCCTCAGCCTGTCCCCACCACAAGCCTTCACCATCCCATATATGCAGGGCCTCATCTGTGCATTGGATCCTTCTTATGTTCTCTGCGAAATGGGAAAGTGACTTGGAGCAGATGGAATGTCAGAGGATTGAGGAGAAAGAAGTTTGAAATAATTATCTCAGAAAATGAATACGTTAATTTCTTAGAGAAGCATAAGGGGATCCTCCTCCTCTGGTGTGGGCTGCCCGTTTGAGGCTCGTGGTCCTCTGTGTGAAGCCAAGCCCGGGAGTGTGGGTGAGTGAGTTCTCTCTCAGCCATGGTTAGCTGTCCCAGTGCAGACGCAGGCCAGGCGGACAGCAGAGGGGATGTGTCAGGCAGGGACGCACAAGGACGGGGAAGGCAAACTTTGAACTGTTTTTGCAAAGGAGCCATTGTAGTGTTGGACCAAGGAACCCAAGCCGAGTGAGGAGAGAAGAGGGGACATGGGGACGGGGGTGACAACAGGGCTGGAGTGGGGGGGCCCTGGCTGGAGGTCACAGGGCCATCTGGGCGTTGCTGAGTGAGAGTACTGGTGGAGAAAAGGACACTGAATGGAAGGGGGAGGTGATGATCAGAGTGTGGGGGGATGGAGGTGACATATCCAGGAGGGGGCAGCTTCCTATTTCACAGACACAGCCTGATGCTGCATTAGCTGCCCCATGACCTACATGTGTGCCTCACATACTGGTGACCAGTCAAAACAGTGGCTCCCAGCCCTAACCGGTTTGGCTCAGTGGATAGAGCAGGGGTCCTCAAACTTTTTAAACAGGGGGCCAGTTCACTGTCCCTCAGACTGTTGGAGGGCCGGACTATAGTTTAAAAAAAAATCTATGAACAAATTCCTATGCACACTGCACATATCTTATTTTGAAGTAAAAAAACAAAACGGGAACAAATACAATATTTGTATTTGCATGTGGCCCGCGGGCCGTAGTTTGAGGACCCCTGGGATAGAGCGTCGGCCTGAGGACTGAAGAGTCCCGGGTTCGATTCCAGTCAGGGCATGTACCTTGGTTGCGGGCACATCCCCAGTAGGAGGTGTGCAAGAGGCAGCTGATCGATGTTTCTCTCTCATCAATGTTTCTAACTCTCTATCCCTCTCCCTTCCTCTCTGTAAAAACTCAATAAAATAAATTTTTAAAAACAAAACAAAAAACAGTGGCTCCCAGAGCCTCCCATAGATCTTATCAACTTTATTTAAAAAGGGTGTTTTGAACTCCATTGACATCATTCCCTTGGACTTCCCAGCAGGGGAAGATGTCCGGCCCTTCCTGACTCTCTATGTCAGCGCCCAAAACCTGTGGTCTTGCCACCGCCTG